GGGTGCATCATTAAGGTAACTCCGTTAGGTTGCTTTTTATAAATAAATAATTTCATAAATCACTGATACCCTATATCATCTAAGTGTGCTCAGTACATAATGACACTCTCTCAAAAAAGTACTAATCCTAACCCAAAAAAATATAGATAGGTAGCTTTAGGCCTACAGAGGATGAGTGTTTATATTTATATCACTTATATTTATATGTCTGTGGTTAGGTTTTGGTTATGTTTGCCTTAAGATGGCTATAAGCTTAGGACTAGATATCAAATAAACTCCCAATTAACTTATAGTGCAGCCTAGCCCTAATTTGTCAGTGTCAATGAAATAGTGCAATATCAAGGACAACCAAACTTGGATATACAACCATGTTTATACCTAAGGTTCCTTTTTGGTACTCACCAACAAGGATCAACCGTAATTATTTTCAGTCAGAAAGTGTCCTGAGTTTCCAGAAAATTGTAACTTATTACATTTTAAAAATTGAGGGTAAATTAAACGTTTCGGTTCTGGTTTTGGAGCGAGTCCAAGTTCTTGCAGTGACTAATACTTCAAAGGAAGGAAGGTGGGAAGATTTTCATACTACTAATAGCCTTCTTTGAATTCAGCGTGAAAAATACTGGGTAATTTCTATAGTTTCGGCCATTTAGGGGAACCAAACAAATTTTTTAAAACTCTTCTATCTCATCATTTCAGTAAACTATGATATTATTATTTGAATAGAAGTTAAATGTCAAGAAAAAAATACCGCAAATTATTATTTTTGGGATAGCATTACATTGACCAAGGAATACTTTAAAAGTGTAAAGTTTCCCGAACAAAGCTAGGTCCCCAGCTACTTGTCAAACAACGCAATAATGTACGTTATTTCATAAAATTTGTACCTGAGAAATGTACAAATGGAAAATGCATTTCTCGTAAGTGTAAGCAAATCTTAAAATGATAGGATTTGTAATGATACGATCTTAAAACGAGCAATTCAGTATTCTTATTCAAAACACCAAACACCCGCCACTGGATCAAAATATGCCCGCACGGCGCAATCCGGCACGGTGGGAAGCCCCTCTCGTACAATTTAAATTACGTACATAAGCCAAAAATAAAAAAAATATGATTTAGAACATTTCACTTTTTGTATACAGAATTCACTGTTTTTAAACTAACCTGACCAAAAAATAAAATAAAGTAGTAGCCGACAAAAAAAGTTCCGTGGAAATTTGCTATGTCACGTTTCATAAAACATTAAAAATAATCGACTTTATTTGAATATTTAAAATGAAAAGTACCGGGGAACCGAGCCGTGGCTCAGTATGTATATTTCGATTGTAAAAGCAATACAAAAGGAAACTCGTGTTTTCTTTATAACTAATTTCGGCTTTTATTGTTTAAGTTTCAGTGGAATTTTAATTTACTATGATGTAACTTTAAATGGACAATGCAACAAATTAATTTATTTTAATCTTACACATTTCTGTTATTGTAAATAAATCATAGAAATTTAAAAAAAATAAAAGTAGTATTTTTTTTAGTACATTCCTAATGAATGAATTAATATGCGATCACAGGTTAATACAGTAGCAATCAACTACACAGCATTAAAACAGCACAGTGTATGTAAGGGGTGTGATTTATTTCTTGGTACTAAATTAAGTCATTCTTCAAGTATAAGTAAAACTTCAGCATGGGCATACTCTCTAACGTACTATCATATGATGGATTAGCTGAAGGCAGATAAGTCCGATTCAAGCTTATATTGCTTACTATAAAGATTGTTGTAATACAATTAACTTTAACTAGTGGTCGTCCAGTGGTCGAAAACTCGACCAAAAATATGTAATGTACAGGTTTCAAATGATTTAGGCCTAAAACTTTTTTTCCCCGTGTGAGTAACTAAGGACTTCTGGATAATTTAAATATGATATTTATATGTTTCTTACTCAGGAACAATGCCGTTCCGGGACACTATATAAATGGACGTTAACGTGATTATAAATTTGCATTTTACATAGTCAAAATACAATAGGTATTGCGCAATCGTGATATGTTAAGTCATTAACCTTGGTTTACTAATAAAAACTACACCGTATGCTTACTCAAACAAAACAAAACTTGCTTACTGTACAGCAATAAATCACGTAAAGAACAAAACAAAATGAAAATGTAGACTAGAAGACTACTGATACCGTAGTCATCCTAGGCTACTACTACATGATGTTTCAGAACAGAAGTATGGGGATAAAAATATTTAATAACTCATAAAACACCATAAAATCATAGTACTGTACTTAAGTCTTTCTGGTAATAATAACAATGATAAAAATAAGATAAAGATAAAAATGATGTAAATCACCTCTTATTATTTCTCTTTGTTCTATTCTTTCTTTGGTTTCTCTACATCCACAAGTTGTCATGGTTACTAATCACCCAACGACCCAACCACAAAATATTGTAGTGTTGTGACAGCAGACAGAAGCAGACGATTGTCAGTATGTCAGTGTCAGTGCAAGATTGTAATAGGTGCGAGCGTATAGGTTGACCTTGACGATACTGATCGATATTTCTCCGTTTTGCTTCCATCTTATTTTTGTTAAATGAACTGTAATATTTCAATAATTGGGAACCTACTGCACATAAAAATTACCGTAAATAGTTAAATATATCGTTCATATAGAAATATTAGACTGAAAAACACAGTTAATAAAACATTTTCTTGGGATTTGTGAGGTTATGTAATATATAGGCATCATGATGATGCGACTCCAGTTAAGCGAGGTTCTACTGTATTTGCAAGTTAAAGTTACAAATAGAAAACCCATTATGGTTTGTATTCAATGACCGATGTATTATACAAAATAAATTATAACTTATTTTGATATTAATCAGCAGCATTTATTACAGCTTGCAGCACTTATTGGTATATATAAATATCCCAGTTACTATTAGTAAAAAAAAAATAAAACACAAAATTGTGTGGCCATTCAATTTTTATAAACACAGTGTTTAACATTTGACTCTGCAGAATACCGGATGGTAAAGAGTGTTTGGTTTCAAGAAAATAAAATAAAAAATAGTTTAACCTGCTTTGCTATTTATTTTGAAAAATAATAGATAGGATACCATAAGGATAGGTATGGGATTGAACTGAAATATTTGCAGGGAAACTTAAATCGTAAAGTCTACAATCTGTACATTGTTAGAGAGCGAGAGAGAGAGAGAGAGAGAGAGATTTGATAAGGAATCTGAAAAGTAAACAAATAATCGTTTCTGGCGTTCGTTATATTGTACCCCCCTCCCCCCCCCCCCCCGTATTTGCACTCGTGACCACTTTTTGTTGCTTCTTTATCATTCAACCGTCCCAAAATATAATTCCTGTAATAGTTTGTTTGTAAAATTGAAATTATTATAAAAATATTTTATCTTTCGAGTGTAGTTTCATGGTTATTCTTATCAGATAGAATAATATCGTTGTCATATGTAATAGTTACTCCTTCGCGTTACGCAATTGCGTAAAAAACAGTTCCAGTATCTCGGACAAGATTCACGTATATTTCTCGAGATAAAGAAAATCCGTATAGTTCCCGGTCCGTGGAAACACTGTAAATACTAGGATAAAAAATATTGTATAAAGGAGTAGTTGACTAAAATTTCAACTGAAGATAAAAAAAATCAAAATAACTTAAAATATGAGATGATGAACGGGTAGGATCAAGATTCAACCAATTATAATTAATTAATATTCGACGATCCTTATTAGAGGTGCATCATATTTATTTGGAGTATGAACATGTTTAAACATTAACACGTAGTTAATCACTATCCCAACACAAATAGTAACAAGGAGTAAACGAAGGTTACAGACCGCTGGGTTTTACCGCTACAAAGTAGGGTAGGGTGCCGTACTGGCTACACTACTCCACGATAGAACACACGATGAGACAGTCTCCGTATTGGTATTGCAGTTACGCTTATCGACACAGGCAGCAGCACCGGTTTACTGTTTTCATACGTATAAAGTGCACGGGAAGCCATACCTGACTGGCTTATGGGAGAGCTGACTGGCTTTCGGGCGGGTGACTGCCACACCGAGTAAATTACCAGCGCACTGACTGCCAAACCGGGTGGGCACAAAAGTATATATATATATATATATATATATATATATATATATATATATATTTGGTCCGTTACAACAATAACTTGAGTAAAAATAATAGGATTTTTATCAAATTTGGTACAAAGTGTAGGACCTATGTTAATTCAAACAAATTCACGGACCAGCATAATCTGACTACTGGTATCATTACAGTACTGGTATCATTGGTGGACTACAGGGTTTCATGCGGTAAAAACTAGTTTGCTTATTTTTATCAATTAATTTATTCCATACTGAGCTATTGAAAATTAACTAAAAACACACATAACATTTCTTTTAGCAGCAAACCTGAGTACTCATTACAAAACCAATGTTTTTTAAATAGGGAATGCATCTGAAATGTTTAGGCAATATTTTAGTCAAAATCCAATCAGACGAAATAGAAATTTGTTTGGTCTGCACTGCAGGTTTGTTGCAGCATAGATCTAAAACAGTTATATGAATACCATGACAAAGGCCATTGTAAAACTTTGGTTTACAGTCACAAAACACCCAAAAACTGATCAATTATGTTCCAAAAGGCAAGACAGCTCCTTTTGAAAAACATCTAAAAGTGTATAAATTTGTTTAAAGTTTATTAGCTCCTGGAGCTAGTAAACCAAACCTGTCTGACCATTTAGTTGTGGGTCTAAACATGCCTGCAGTTCACATTAGATGCTCTATAGGCCTGAGAGTTATTTGTACCACCCTCCCCACTTCATCTTGAGAGAACTTTTATCTTCCTTGCCCCCTCAACCTGTTCCGTCTTAACCTCTTGCGATTCTAGGTCCCGGGCCCATTTACTAAAAAGGCCCCAGATCTTTAATATATTTAATTAAATTGAACATTATCAGTATTGTTCACTAACCAGCTGTTTCAATTTGATCGTTTTCTTCTACTGTCTGTGTTTGAATGGTGCGACAGTTCCGCAATTTCTTCTTGAGAATCTTCTTTTTCAGCTTTTCTGTTGAACAAAGAAGATAAATACTTGGGAAACTCCATGTTTAAGGGTAACAAACTTATATCTAGGAATCCTACAGTCCTACTTAGCTAAAAGCAAAACTTAGTTCTAAAAATTACTATTAAGGCCATTGAACAATAAACTATTTCTTGACGATAAGTTTATTAACAGAGTTTGAAAATGGAAAAGCTACAATTATTGCAATTCAACAAATTAATTGTAAACACAAGTTTTGCATAAAATAAGTGCTTATCGTTAAATTTTAATTAACATTTTTATTCTTTATCTTCTACTCAAGGGACAATGTTTTTAGGATTGGTTAGGCTTTATTATTGACATTAATAAAGCTTAATTTTTACAATACTTTTAAAGAATATCATTACCTCAAAAATTAATACTGAAAAAACACAACAGTGGTTATAAGATGTAATTTGTGTAGAGGTCCATTGGGATTTAGATTTTAGTACTATTAATTGTATTATCCGGAGGCCACCCTTATACAGCACGCAGCGGCAGTTATGTTCGGTTGGGTTGTCATAAATATGTTTGTAGGACTTTCCTCATTTAATTATGAGGAAAACTATCCTCAATTAATTAAACAATACCAGATGAATAATACTTTCACTTGCCAAATCCCCTCCAAATTAGGCCAAGGCGAGGTCATTGACCAGAGGGTACGCATCATCAGTCACCGCCTGTATCTGGTGTGGCAGCTAGCGGCGGCAAAGCATTCAACTCCATCCTCACCGACATCGTTGCCATCTGGGAGTCAGAACTCAAAGGCCGCTAATTGTAATCATGTCAAATATGGAAAGTGTCAATTAAAGTCTTTTCTTTCCATTTATGATAACCCAACTTAACATAACAGCCACAGTGCGCTGTATAAAAGTGGCCTCCGGATAATACCAAAGTACCTGGTATTTTTCAACTGTTGAACAGTAATGGAACCAGCTAAGCAAGGGTAGTGGGACCAGCCAATGGGGAAGTGATGCTTCTGCCATTAAAAAAGGAGGAGACGGGAGGAGGCAATTACTTTGTCAGGGTTGTCTAATGTGCAGTATCAGTTCTTATTTCAACAACTTTCAGTGCTTTCAATCTTGGCACCACATCACTCTCGTCACAGAAAACATACTACTATAACCCAGAATACTGACCGCGTGTAGCTTTGCCTGTCAATTCACAGGCAGTGCCACCAGCATTGCTATGCTGGTGCATTGTTTGCAGATGGCACTGCCTACGAATTGATAGGCAAAGCTACACGCGGTCAGTATTCTGGGTTATAGTAGTATGTTTTCTGAACTCTCGTAAACCTCTCTTGTTGTCGTATGTTTGTGTTCTAGAAAATTTTAAATATCCAGAATTAAATTTGAACCACCCTTATTATAATTATGGCATTGATCATATAGGATACTTCTAATAACCAAGATAAAAACTTAAGCTTTAAGAACAGTAGTAAGTGCCATTCATACAAAAATAAACATTAAACATTGAGAATAAAAATATTAATCATACTCACTTTGTTCATCGGTGAGTGGAAGAGGTTTAGGAGGAGCGACGGCCAACTTCTTGGCTGTGGCTGCGTTCACAAACACCAATGCTGGAAAGACCAACACGACAACAAGTTGTAGTATTGAAAATAACCAAGTCTTAATAACAGATAATATAGTTGGGTGAGTTAAAGTAAATTTGTTAAATTTGTTTATCTACAGTAAATTGCATATGCCTTAATTTCCTAAAGCATAAATGGCTCTAAAAGTTTGAGTAATGTTCGAGATAGGAACCAGGAAAGGCAATAGAAGTGTAGTAAGGCAATAGTAATTACAGCGGAACCTTGATAAGAAGACCCCCGATAACAAGTGTCATTTTCAAATCCCCTTAAAATTATTTTACCCCTAATCACATGTTTTTACAAACCTCGATAAAAAGTCAACCTTGATAACAAGTCTTATTTTACAATCCCCATGAGAGTCTTGTTATCAAGGTTCTACTGTAATTTGTTTTCATACAATATTGTATAATTTTGTCCAAAACTCAATTCTCAAGCAGTCTTAAAAATTAGCACAAACAATATCAAAGACAAACTTAAAACTGTTTTACCTATTCCAAGATAAGTCATGCATAACCATTAAGTACAGCAAAAATTGCAGCTTCCCATTGTATATTTGTACCTGTTAGTTGGACTTGCCCCACCAAGCTCTACCATATACAAGAAAACTCTTGTGACTAAAATATATCTGAACTCTCAATCTAGAAAGCTGGGCACAAGACCTAATGGTCTAGGGCATTATAGTCCGTCCACAAAAAGTAGGCGGTTAAGGGGAAGTTCCCCCACTACAGTTTTGCTCTTTTACTTATTGTCAATGCTGCAACTGACTATAACGTTGGATCAAGTAAGTGGAGGGGATAAATTTCTTCCCCTAAAAGCACCTAAATTTTGTGAAGGAGTGTAGCATTGCTGATGATTTTGAGCTTCACTCTCAGCACAAGTAAGGTGCAGCTTTCAGATGTTTGTTGAAGTTTAAGTTTGGTATTAGTCTTTGATAACCAATGTGGATGTATTGGTCAAGGGGGTTAAAGGATTTAAACACAGGGTTTATGCTTAATTTGTCACATTTTGAGAAACAGCGCAACATTTTGTTAATTTTTAGGTTGGCTGTCGCAAATACAGAAAGTTTAAGTGTTGGAGGCAAATGTGCCAGCACAATCGCAGAAGATGATCACAATTTTACTTTGATTGCAATCGCAATAGATAATAATTAATTGCAGCACAGTGATACTTTTTTCCCGGCTTAAACTTTTATTTGAAGAGAATTTGTTTATACAACTTGACAAGACTTTCCAAAACATGATTCTCCTACTAAACAATTGTGTTATTGGTAACCTACCTGAGTCGGAGGGAGAACATCCATCAGCAACTGTCATAGTCTGGACAGAGCGACACACTGGCCTGGTCCTAGGTAAGGTAACTGTAAACATTCACATTTGTATGTTTAGTCACTTGGTAGAAATCAGATAGTGAACTTATTGCAAACGTATAGGCTAAAGCTAAGTTTGAGGTTTTAACAAGAAAATCTCTTATTTTTTTTAAAAGGTGTTCCAACTTGTAACGAATTGGCAAACCTCATTCACATTCCATGTGGTTAAATTAAACTAATAAAGCAGTAAAATTTTTCACTTATAAATCTTAAATTTAAGAATCCAACCCATAAACGTCAAGTACCTCGTGGTATGTTCAAGGCTAGCACCAGATATTTGAAATAGTTTTGCTTCAAAATATTTATTAAATCAAAATCAAATAAATACCTATCATTTAAATCACGCTTTACTTATTTTCCACTTGACTACACCCTGGGGAAGTTGAATAAATAATAAAATAAACCTTGTATGGTAATACGATATCTTGTGTGCTTGAAAGAAAAACAATAGAAAACTACTGACCTCTCACAGATTTTTTGGTTCCTTTCTCTTCATCATTCTTTTTGTCCTTCTCTTCATCAGTTGCAGCAGGATTAGATATTGGAATGCCTTTCTCCTCAATTTGACCAGATTCTGGCTTAATTTGGTCTAAAGACTCATTTTCATCTTCCCTTTCTTTATTGTCATCGTCACCAGCCTCAACTTCCTTGTTTTTACGGTTCGTTAAATTTGGATGAATATTACTCTTACAGTCAATTTTACCATCTTCTTCTTTTGGATCCTTTGAATATTTATTTGATACACTTATTGGAGTTCTTTTTTGGGAAAATCGAGCTTTGCTAATTCCTTGGTACCTTTTATATACTTTGAATACAGCAGAAAGCATACAATGTGCCCTTATACTCCTAAAATGAGTAAAACAATATTAAATCTTGCAACAAAACTGAATGGTTTAATTTACCATTATAAAATTATAACACTAAAGGTCCGCATAATCTTTAGCACATTTTGACGTGGTGAGACCAGTTAACTATTGACAACAAAGCTATGGAAAATAAAATAAATAGGTTTACGTACCTTACGTCGTCAATTCATTTTTAGTCTTTGGCAACTAGTTTGGAAACAGTTGTTTCATTTTCAAGCCCATTTCTTCACTCATAAATTAATTAAGTTAAACCTTTGACTATTGATACAACTTCTGTATCCAATGGTCAATGGTTAAACGCAATGTAATCGTCAATATTTACAAATTCAACATTTAACAACACATACGAAGTACACAAATGAATACATTTGATAAACATAGAATAATGCGCGGCCAACCACAACACGCACGCACATCTACAGAGAAAAATTTGCTTAGCTTACCGAGAAAAAAAATGAAAATGCACAAAAATAAGCACATAAACAAATAGAATTTTCTGAATTACACAACTCCTTTTTAAGTAGTAAACTCTACAAGTAGTCTTTTACTTTTTTGAGAACAAAGACTCTATTACTGAGGAGCTAGAATATAGGTACATTTATTTGTGTTTATTGGTGCTTTTTAATCCATTTTGTCAATAAGGTGAGCCTGCTGTTAAGCCTATATCCATAAAAAAAATCCTTAAATCCTGGCCAAAAGCCATCTTTACCAAAACATGTCACAACCTAAATTATAGATTCTTCATAGGAACTCATAGTTCAGGTGAAGAAAATTTAGAGAAATTTTTAGCAGTATCTTTGGAACGGTAATGTCTTATATTTATTTCTTGCTATTTTATTTTATTAAATTTGACAAGGTGGGGAATGTAAAATTTACCAAAAAGTTTGAGAGAATTGCATACTCAATATCAGAAAACTTAATTTTTTAATAACTTATTGTCAACAAGAAAAGAACAAATCTATATAGGCTAAGTTAATTTTATACCGTCTTGTACGTTCATCAAGTAGTCTATGTACATGTGTAGGGGTAGTGGGGAAGAAAAGGAACAGCGTTACCTCTGTTTTTCAAAAATTCTTAATAGGCCTAAATGTAAATGCAACCTGTATTTTTCATAACCCAACTAAGCCCTATGGGTTTTAGAATTTCAAAAATGTAGATATGATTCAAATCAGTTAAAAATAGGGTATCTGGGTATGTCTACTGAGAGAGATGGCGGAGAAATCTCTAGCATCTCCTGTGATCACCATGATATCATATGAGCATAGTCTGCAGTTGCGTCTCGCGATCGTAGAGACATTATTATCGTATACACTTAACCCTCCGAGTGTTATGTGTCGTAAAAGCGACTCATAACACATCCGCTGTAGTGTTATGTGTCGCTTTTGCGACTCACAAACACTGTTTACGGCGAAGGCTCTGGGACTGACTGAATCGGATTGAACTGGATCGAGTAAGGTATCGTTTTTTTTTTCAGCAGATTCAGAGCTTTCTCCTGATGTCTGTTTCTATACGCTTTTCATTTTAGTTCCGAAAATATTGTAGCAGACAGCTGACGTGCATATTTGTAAACAGCTTGGTTAACTTCGCACCGATGACTGATGTGTTTTATTACGTTTATAATTGTTTTAGTGTTAAAAATCCAAAGTAATGATATACGTGGTGCATTATAAGAAGATTTAAGTGATTTTGAAAGGCTGGTTGATGATCCTGAAGAAGTAGGTAAGTGATATTGATGTAAATTATCAGCCAGATTCCTAGCTATGGTTAGGCTATGGATTCTTAGCTAAACGCTATGTACCGAAATCTGTTTTTTGCCCATAACTTATTTATTTGCAAACCTACTTCCTTATATTATTATATTTTTGGAATCCTCATAAAATTCTGAACAAAGTGGCTATTTTAAAATATTTGTAGACCTATAAATTATAACAATTTATTGAGCGTAAACATATTTTTTTTTTCATTTATTTTATAATTTTTGAGAAATGTTAACCCCACAAAAATTGTTGAAAATTTTTTTTTGTAATGTTTTATATAGGCCTTTGTTACATTAAAGCCCATAATTTGCCAAACAAAATGATATATAAAACAGTATACTTTACATTGTTTTTAAGTTTCTAAGATACATTTTAATAAAACAATGCGATTGCGCAATAAATGGGCGAACATTAAGACCAAAACTAGAGACACTTGGAGGGTTAAAGTAATATAGTATAAAATAATTGTAATTTACAAGCGATTACGTGTTGACCCAAAAAGTTAGAAGTACGGATAGTAAAATAATATAGTTCGGAAACTGGGTAACAATACAAATTCATACTTACTGCCATCTGTGATTTTCATCAAAAAGCTCTACCAATTTATTCTGCACCTCTGTATTTTCTTGCTTTGTTTTTTGCTCTTTTGAAACATGTTCTGCTTCTTTTTCCTGTTCCGTCCCCTAAAATAAAATAGATATAAAGAGTGAGAATGGAAAGACATGTCTGTTATTAAGAGCTCAAAAATGAAATGAATGACACATTTAAGTACCTATGGACAGGGTATCAGTGTTTTTAAAAAGAGCTTTCCATAATATTTTAATGTCGCCGTTTTGATACTTGATCTTAAGAAGTACCTATTAATTCCTATCCTAAATGTAACCAAGCAGTTATTAACTGTATTCAGAGTGTCTAGTTTATTTCCATTACAAAATTCAAGACTAATTCCAGACTTTTCAAGACTAATTCCAGATTTTCCAAGACTAGTTTTTTCAACAATTAGAGGGTGTTGATACCAAAATGTATCGATTCTTGAATCTTGATACAGATACCAATTTTTATAGCTTAACCAAATTTTCTAAATAATACTACACCAACCCTTGTCTTTGTCATAAAGTAGTATTATGATAATGTCGTGTTTTCAAGTAAAGAAATAATGCAGCAATAAAAAACTAAATAGCAACTAGCAAATTTGTTTTTTTTTATCATGAAATCTTCCACATACCGTACGTTTATACATCATCATTGACTGCAGCAGTTACAGAAACGTCATCGTCATCGTCCGCGATCGCGGCAAAATCATGAACAATTCCAGCGGCTGTTTAGACATCACCGTCATCTCCCGCGGTCACGGAAACGTTATCGTCGACGTCCGCGATCGCGACAAAATCATGAACATTTCCCGCGGCCGGGCAGATATCATCGTCGTCTCCCGCGGTCACGGAAACGTCATCGTAGTCTCCCGTGGTCACGGAAACATCATCGTCGTCTCCCGCGGTCACGGAAACTTAATCGTCATCTCCCGCGGTCACAGAAACGTCATCGTCATCTCTCGCGGTCACGGAAACGTCATCGTCGTCGTCCGCGATCGCGACAAATTCATGAACATTTCCTGCGGCCGAGCAGATATTATCATCATTGGCTTTCGCGGTTACGTAAACGCAAGACGACGATCGCGGCAAAATCATGAAAATTCCCGACTTTGAAATCAAATTTAAGACTAAATCCCGACTTTTCAATACCATTTTGAAATTCAATACTAATTCCCGACTTTCCCGACTACTAGACACCCTGTGTATTAAATAATAACAGGACCCTGTTATTATTTAATCCGTGTCCAGCAAATGGGCTTGGACGAACTCCTGCATATTTCCCGAGTAACTTACATCTTACCCCAAGGCATTTTTTTTAGGGTAGGCCTAAATTTAGCAAAAGTTTATCAAATTGAATACATTTGATATGCAATACGAATAAAAAGGGTGCAGACACCCAGGCAAGCACGCAAACCCGCCAAAAAACATGCACACATCACAACTTAACAAAGCCCATCTAAGTGGCAGAAAAGGCCTCTAGCCAAGGCCACACTCTCTACCCATGTAGCACAGATGGTTGGGCCAACGTTGGCCAACAGTGGGACAGTTGGTCGATGGTTGGTTGGAGCTTCCACAACCAACCAACCGTTGTCCAACTGTATATCTCGTAGTTGGGCCAACCAATTTTTACAACTGTGGACCAACATTGGTTCATTGTTAATGAAATACATTAATATGCATTGTTGGGTATCATACATCAAGCCAACCGTTGTCCAACCGTTTTTCACTCCGTTGGACCAACAAAAGATACTTTTGTTGGACCAACGATGGTCCATAGTTGAGTTTACATGACTTTCATTCTCTGGGTCTAGCTTTCACAACATAATTATAATAAAATATCTGGTTTTACAATACCTTTATAAGTTCCAAAAGTTTTTGAAACTGATAAAGGTATTGTAAAACCAGATATTTTATATATTACAGTTCCGGGGCTACAACAATGAATTTTAATAATTATAATAATGCAAATATTTTTTAAATTAATATTCTTTAACTTATTTGCAACAATTTAAGGGGAAAGAGTAATTAATCATATAACAGTCAATTATAATAGCATTAATAATCTAACGGTAATTAATTAATCTATATTCAAATACCAGTATCCTCTCTAACTCCAAAAAAAAAAAAAAATAACTACTTATGATGCCTTAACAGATTAACAGAATCATATTATACTGTGTAGTATCAAAAATGTTTGAAGTATTGCGACCATTGCAACTGTCGGCTACTCTTTCACCACTTGAAAACTCTCTGTATCAACAATCACAGATAGCTCAGTGGTAAGGTAAGAGGCTCATAAGTCGAAGGACCCGGGTTCGAGACCCGTCTGGGCCAGAAAATTTTGTTCCAGCTTTTTTCAAAATTTGTTTTTATGAACTATTTAATCAATTTACTCAACTAATAATTATGCTTTTCGTACTAAATCTTTATTATTTTGTGTGAAGTAATTTTGGTTGGGCCATTGTTGGACAAAGGTTGGCTGGAAAACAGTTTAAAGAGGTGACATTTCTACCGTTGGCCAACTGTGTGGCTCCACAATTTACCAACGTTGGCCCAACCATCTGTGCTACATGGGTAGCTGGGGTAGAGGTTACATGGCCGTTGGGGAAGGGTGGCCACGAGTGAGAAATTATGAGTTTTGGTAGTGGCTATTTATTCGCATAGCTAAAAGGAGTAGGCACTTTTTGTCTACTTATATAGTGAGTTTTTGAACGATATACACCTTGAATAATAATTTTAAAATAGCAGCCTCTTTGTGCAACACCCTGTAAACAACTAAAACTGTAATTAACTACTAAACTGACCTTATTTACCATTCCTTTGTTAACAGAACTCGCTCTCATTGAAGGTTTTCTTTTGGGAGATACTGGACACATATTTCTGTTGGGTTTCCTCTTGAAAGTTCTCTTCTGATACAAAGTCAAAAATGGGGGTTTTTTCGGTTTTAAATCTGAAAAAAAGTTCTGAATAAGCCTAAGCCTGTAAACAAGCGTTATAGTTCCCGTGCGAGGCAAGTGAGTACTGACTTCATGCATACACCAACAAATAGGTGCAGGGATAGTAAAACACAACCCATGAACACAACAATACTAATTAAGTTACATAGTCCGATCGAGCTAGTTCATGAACTTCTTAGAATAAACAAAAAGACAAAATTTAAAAAATAATAGGACTCCGAACCTATTAATTGGAGAGGATCAAATTCAAATTTCAAAAACTGCCGACTTTTTGGGGGTGAGATTGGACAATAAATTGAGCTGGGATGCACAAATAAAAAAACTGGAGGGGTCTATGGCTCGAGGGGTCTTTGTACTTCGAAGAATAAGAACCTTCGGAAACCTGGCTCTCTCTAAACTTGTGTATTTTGGCCTAATAGAACAGCACATTTTGTATTCAATCATTCTATGGGGAGCTGTTAAGAAGAATATTGACCAGATCTTTGTTTGGCAGAATATGGCAGTAAGAGCAATCTTGGGCATGCCGCCTCGGACCAGCTGCAAAAATGTTTATAAAGAACTTGGCTTTCTCACAGTCCCTTCACTTTATATCTATGAATCAGTTTGCTATATAAAATCACAGAACATTAAACCAACTTTTACAAATCACACTTACAACACACGAACAAAGGGCACACATGCAATCCAACATAAACTCACAAAATTTGAACACAAACCAGATTACATGGGAATGAAATTGTACCAGGCCCTACCGAAAAAATTACTTGAAATTCAGAGCTTAACAAAATTCAAATCAGAATTAAAAAAATATCTAGTAGAGTTAAGTTTAGAGGACATAGACAGTTACCTAGACGGTGACAAAAATTAGTATTAAGCTGGTTATTCTTTGTATTAACCCTGACCTGTCCAATTCCTTAAGGCAAAGGACTACGGACGGAGAGATCATGTATCATGTATGTATGTACCTAAGTTAAGTTAAACAGATCCGGGCTAGAACCTTTTTGAGTCCTAGGATGTGAAGGTGGGACAAAAAAAGGCGTCAATCTTACTTGTACGTCTTTGACAAAGGCTATTCTTGAACAGAGGTTTTTAAAACTCATCTAGGCCAAACTTAATCAAGGACTCCGTTAATTAATTTATGTAGGTTATGAAATGCAAACCCCTTCAATTACCCGCCCTTTTTTAAACTTGTCTTTTCAAAAGATTACTTAGGCCTAGAGCCTTTGTTACTTAAAGGAATATAGGCCCTCCTTTGGTTTAAAAAATAAATAAGATAAACTTAATCAACAAACAAACCAAAATTGTTATTTTCAGAAACAGAAATTCAGTGTGATTAAAAATAAAAACGCTTTTAAGAATTAATAAGTTAACTTAGGCCTAGGTACAAGCATGATAGAAGGTTGGGTTAAGATGCATTTTAGGGTTTGCACCCGATTTTTGAAATTTTTTGTCATTCTAACTTTCAAAAATTTAAGCTGATTCCAAAAATCACGTTCTTTCAACCAAAAATATTTTTTTACCCAAATACGAAAGTGGGTATTCAAATTAACCGTAATATTAAGCAGATCACGAATATGCAAGAACTCTTTCGATCCGACGTCAAATAAGCGAGATTTTGACGAAAATGTGATACTAAGTTAACAATTCAGTGACGCTTTTTGGATTTTGCTCCAACTTTTGTCTGTGTTTAAAATGCCATCTGATCAGCTGGTCATTATTTTATTACTTATAGGTAAATTGTTTATACTAACTTAATCATAGGCCTAACCAAACCTAAACTAAACGAAAATGTGATACTACCAGCACCCCCAACTCACAAAGGGACAGGTGGGAATTCGGGGTTTTGGGTGGGGGAGACATCTAACGTGGTTTATAATCGTAATTTATTGTGTAAAAAGGTAATTTAACGGGAAATAATGGGTAATTAGTAAGGAGAATTATGAAAAATTTGCTTGGAATTGGGAAATTTTTCAGTAGGCCTACCAACCTATTTAAATAGGTTGTTGTAGCACTGCCATGTTACTTGTTAGGTTAGGTTAGGTTGGTTAGAATGTGTTGGTTAAGTTAGGGTAGGTATGGTTAGGTAAGGTTTGGTAAGTTAAGGTTTGGTTATGAGCCTATAAACAATCGTAATAAAATAATGACCAGCTGATCAGCTGGTATTTTTAACACAGACAAAAGTTGGAGCAATGTCGAGTACCGGTAGCCTAGAATAAACAAAAAATAATTTCAAAAATCGCGTGCAAACCCTAATATAGCCTACATAAGAATAACTTAACTTATTTACCGAAGGCTCTTTAGTTTAAACATCACACACTATAAACTACACTCATTCTTATGAATATATCGAACGATTTATATCAATTATTGCATTCGACAAGTTAGCCTATATCGAGTTTGGATAGTGTAGGTAAGTTAGTTAGGTTGACCTAACCTAACTAAAAGAATGAAATAGGCTAATTGATATAGGGTAGCCTAAGCCTACAGGTAATTGAATAATTTAAGTTTAAAACATTATTTTTCATTCAAATGGCATAAATAACTTACCTGCTTCGTGGTAATCCTATTGTTGGTAGTGTCGCAACTAGTTTCGAAGTTCTACAATGTCATCTTCAGGCGAAGGCGTCAAGGATGCCAAATGGTGGTCACTTCAAATGAAGGTCGTCATTACACATAAAGTACATAAAAACACGAACACGGACATTAACACGTAAAAACGGCACATTTAACATGATTAAACGAACAACGGTAACTGTAAAGGGATGATGTGACACGACCGGGATGGATGCAAGGTCTAGACTACCGGTCAACGTGGTCGGTCGGTGCGATGACGTCACTCCTTTTGTCTTGTTATCAGTCAGCTAATTGTAGGTTCTATCCCATTCATTCCTGACTCTTTCTCTAAGTACTTTGATAGCCGTATCATAAATATAATTCGATTGGAAGAAAAGCTTGTCGTTTAAGATATTTTGTCTGTCAAGTTTTACCGCTCGGTATATTTCAAATTCTTCTAGTGTGTTTCTATTAAAATGGTTAATAAACTGATAACAAGTCAAATGGTGTGACGTCATCGCACCGACCAAACACGTTGACCGGTAGTCTAGACCTTGCATCCATCCCGGTCGTGTCACATCATCCCTTTACAGTTACCGTTGTTTGTTTAATTGTGTTAAATGTGCCGTTTTTACGTGTTAATGTCCGTGTTTTTATGTACTTTATGTGTAATGACGACCTTCATTTGAAGTGACCACCATTTGGCATCCTTGACGCCTTTGCCTAAAGATGACATTGTAGAAAGTCGAAACTAGTTGCGACACTAGCAACAATAGGATTACCACGAAGCAGGTTACACCATTTTAACCCTTAGAGTGCCAGGCGAGAAATAAAAGTAACGCTCAAAAAATGCCGATGATATTTCCCCAAGGTCGCGCTAAAAATTCCGAGCGCGATCTGGCGATTTTTAGGTTAAAATTTCATAAAAATCGAATTTTCGATATTTCGACCAACGAAAATCGATGTATCGCATCTATAGAAACTTTCGACTCAATGTTAATATATGGGTTAAAAGAATCCGAGTAGGTATCCATTCGGTTGTTATGACAACTGTTCGATCATTACGAAACGTCCGGTCAGCCGGACGTTGGCACTTTTGGCTCGTTCTAAAAACGTCCGGTCGGCCGGACCTCGGCACTTTTGGCTCGTTTTAAAAACGTCCGGTTCCCCGGACGTTGGCACTCAAGGGGTTAATATACTTATTCAGACGTAGGCCTAGGCCTAATCCGGAGGCTAAATTCTAAAATGAAAATTTTCATTCGATTGAGTGTACAGTAGGACGTACCGGTAAACCAAAGTGCAGCCCAATAGAAATTTGGCATCACCTTTGATCAGTCCTAGGCCTAGGCTACGTTTTACTTTTATTTAGGTTAGGCCTAGGCTTATGTGCTATAGGTAGGCCTAACTTAGAACTTACCAGTTCAGAAACAAAGAACATTATGATAAGTTCAGATAGGCCTATTTCAAGTGTGACAATAACGTAGGGTAGGCCTAGGACAAACTTTAGAGGCAGTTAAAAGATAGCCTAACTTAGGCCTAATAACTTAGGTAAATTAGAATTGGCGTAAATTGGGATCTTAGCCTAACCCAAAGAATGTCGAGAGTTAACTTGGGCTAAACTGCATAATGACTTACCTAGACTTTTCATCACATAGTAGTTATGCAAGATATTCCTATAAGACATTTTTTCATAACCAGACATGGCAAGCCAGACGTCATCAGGAAAATATGACTTAACCTCTTCTTCACTTGGAAATACAACTCTGTTATTTCCGTCTTCCATTTTCTTTATCCAAACTAGGCCTAGCCTTTTTAATGTTTATTGGTGCAGTCAGAGTGACATCTGATGGTACCTATTTTCAATGAATTGCATTTAGGCCTACGATTCAATTAACCATTTCGCCGATGTAATTAGGCCTAACTTAGCTTTTTATTCTTCATAAAAAGTCATATCAGAGTCCTGCAACGTAACTAATTCGACACTATGCTACTACTACGCACCAGCACTATGCTATGTTATGATGATTGGTTACTAACAAACTACCATCACACATATTGCATATTCTCAACAAAAATAATGTTTATTTTAGCCTACATAAGAAATTTACAGTTCAGTCTTTTCGGACGAAACTAACAACAAACAACAACACTAAGGAAAAGAAGAACAAGAAGAAGTAAACTACTGAGAAAAGAAGGGGAATAAGACGGAAAAGGAAGATTAACCATGGAGTAGCAAATATAGATTAATATTTGAGGTGGTACTAACAGTCTTGTAAGTATATACAAACATGATACAAACTAATCATGCACTTCACAATACCATAGACTAACCAACACAAGTAGACTTCTCATCCCATTGTAAATTTTGAAGCACGTTTTTCGTGTCTAGTTCATGTACGTGACACAAAGGTGCTAGTGTCGATGAAACTTTGTTTCCATTATTTTAGGGTTAATTTCTTGATTTGTGCTTTACTGTTTGGTTATATAACTAGGGGACAAGTTATTGTTTATGATTAGATCGTACTATTTGGTTAAACGAGGTTTTAAATGGCTGTAATAACGGGAAACAAATTGTAAACAAAACACGACCTCTACATAAACCGTACATGAACTAACAATAAAATTGTCTTCAGCTGTTCCATAAGGATGAGAAATCTACTAAGGGAGTATGTTTTATCTATGACAATACTTACTTGTGAGCATTATAAATCCATAGTTAATGCTTTATTGATTAATCTCAACCAAAACATCTCTTATGCTTTAGAAATTAAAATGTGGATGCTTAACTTTTGCTGTTCATTTGTTTCAATATATTTTTACGATTTCATTTAATTTCATATGATTGTAAATCTATAATAATATTATATAAAAATCTAATGGTGTCTGTCCACCTGTCTGTATGAGTATTACTAATAGCAAAGATTACAGGCACAAAAACTACTGAAACGACTGGGCTTAAATTTTACAATACTCTTGCTGTCGTAGCAAACCTGCAGACTAAGCGAACTATCTAAGCTTCAAAGGTTGGCATGTCGTGGTGGCACCTCTTGTCCGGGTGGTACCTAAATGGAAGCGTACACGGCCACCCAACGCCTCGGTTGTACCATAGACTAACCAACGATAAAAACATCAATATATATTATCTATACATTATGCTATAATTTCTAAAGTATACTCTTTTTTGTCGTTACACTATAACTTCCATAATTCTTCACCAATTTCCATGGATGATAAATAATTTTAAAGATCCTTTTACCCACTACCATAGTAGTCCAGTCATTGAGTTGTGGAAGTTCGACAAAATTGTTTCAAAAGGTTTTTCACCGGATTTCAATACGTTTTATTCCTCCACACAACACAAAAAAGGTCTACCGAAATCTGACTTGGGGAAGCACCTGATAAGGAATTTAAATTAGAATAATATAATTGCTCCCAGAAAAAAAATTGTTAAAAACATTATTGTTAGATATAGGGTGTAGTATATAGTTTTTAATGTTTACAAGAAGGGTGGGAAAACTAAATCTGCAACTTAAAATGTGATTTGACCTCATTTGATGCCACAAAATGGCCGCCAAAATACGATTCATGGAGAAAAAACTCAAATAAGCTTACCTTTAATATAGGGTGTAGTATATCGAATTCAATATTTACGAGGGTGGCAACACCAAAAATACTACTTAAAATGTGATTGTATCTAATATAAGGTCATAAGATTTAAGTCACCAAAAGCCCACACTGAGGGGTATTCCATACCCCCAAGACCCCCGGCAGGCCGGCTTAGCCCCCCCCCCCACATTTTGGGGCCTAGATCCGCCTATGTTGGTCGAACCTCTATTATATATTTATATGTAATGACTGGACTATAGACAAAAAGAATTAAATACTACACATCAGGGAAATATGCAAATAATTCATTTTTAATTTTTTTTTATCATCTGAAACACGTGAATTAAATTAATTCAAACAAACAAATATTTTTACTTCTCGCAAATCCGAGGATTTTGTTTTTACTTTATCCATGACAACAAACAGTCTTATATAGTCAAACTATAACGATAAAAGCCCTGGGGATGAAATCGGTTTTCACTTTAAAGAAGTCTAAAAAGAACAACTCAAAAGTAAGTATAGGCTACATCATGGATTCTTTTGTTTTTATATTTCTTTATTTACGACATAGCCTTCATATAAATATACCAACCAACAATTCCATGTATATTTAAGTATTCCATCTTCAAACATCACCTCTAATCTTTTCTTTACTACAGGTTTCAATGAAATGCTATCTTGTGTCGAATTTGTTACTGGCAGGTAACGGTTTATATCAGTTTTGTTTAGGTTCCTAACCAAAGGACGTAAAAAGCTCTGTTGTATCACTTAAAGTTTTTTTACTCTTTAAGCCCATTAGGTTTGTCACCTCATAAACCCATGCTAAAAATAACTCTATTGTAATGTTGATGACAAACCAAAGCAGGGTCATAGATTGCCGTAGCTCACTTGGGCACCTACACTACCAAATCGAAATGTTTGATGACTCCGCCGGTCAAAATGTCATACTACGCAATATTCCTAAATCCTCTCAAACTGGCCAAGATGATATTTTCCTTAAAAATTACCTTTACCATCATTCTAACGAAGGAAGGGTTGCACTTGCTCGTGCCAGACCTTATTTTTACACGCTCAGTATTCGTGTCTTTGTCAAGGGTGCTCTTTTTCAGTGAAAACTATGTCTATGTAAAAACTAAAACAAAGCCATCAACACATAAAGTGTATATGGCCATATTCAAACATAGTGTCCAAAGAGGTCCTGTAAATATGCAAAAACGTAAACAACATAGAATTACATATATAAAAGTTTATTATCTAAAATGTAAACCTCTCTACTGTATTTCTGATGTAAGAACTCATGTACTTAAATCACCGATGTACTTACCCCGCAGTATTATTTGTATGTTGTGAAATATTTGTATAAGTGGGATTTAAGAAGGATTCAGTTCGAATGCTTCGCATGGGTCGGCTAGAGATGGCTGTGCTAGTACTCCCTTAAAAATGTTGGTTAGTCTCTGGCTGCACCTTGTCAGTGTCTGAAGGGGCATATTGGCACCTATGTTCTTGTTGGCGGGTTTTTTTGAACCGTACCTAGCGTGCCGTTGAAGTATGTTTACGGTGGTAAATCTAGCTTGACATAGTGAAAACTGGAAACTTATAAATACAGCAAAAAATCTAAACTTTTCCGAGAAATGATCAGAACAAATGGTTTTCATAGTTGATTATTATGCAACAAAGTTTTTTAGTCAAATAACTGAAGTTTAAAAAAATCTACTTTTTAAATTTTTGAACTCCCAGTATAATATTATGAGAGAATAATAATAATAATTAAACACCTCCTTACACAATGCAATGTACCGGCAAACCCTTTTGTATATATTTTAGATAAAATAAATGAAATTATTATAGGCTTTATTGTTTTCCTATCTGAATTATAATTTTATAAATACAAAAGCAATACCCCAATAAGGTTAAAAGTGTTATAAACTTCTTAAAAAGAAAGAATATATCTTAGAAAATATCTTAACTATATTAGTAATAATAGTACTAATAAACTGCTACGCTGTTTAATTGAACATAAGCCTAAAAAACAATATACTAATAATATAATCCGCCAATTAACGTATGTTAAACAGCTGAATACATCATAGTGTGGTGGAAAATATGTATTAGTTAACAAAACTCAGTTAGAAACTACCTGAAACCTTTAGTTTGGTGTTATCAATTAACCTTAAAGTTACCTAATCTCACAATTAGTTTTTAGCGCGAAGAAATACAATTTTATCTTATCTAAATTAATTGCACTGACATTATCCTTATAAGTATTCTGCTACACTTTTTGACTAAGTAGTCACTACTATTGTTTAACACAATCGATAACACAAGCGACTGTTAAAACATTTAAAACTCATCTGACGAAGATGTACACAATAAAAAAGTCTGTGTGTAGTTTTTATTTTATTTTCTACTTGTAATTTAGAACCACACTTTACACCAAAAATGGGTGGATTAATTAATTTTCCATACATTTAAAGAGTTTTATAAAACCAGTACCGGTAGTAAACAAGTGGAATGATATAAGATTTTAAGATATCAATAATGGTTAATTTTTGCAAAATTATCTTAATATACTAAAACATTATTACACATTCCTATATAGTCGTATATCCACCAAAGTAATTATTATAATTGAATATTTTCGAATATGCAAGGGTGATTTAAAAGAAACTCCAGTTAGAAATACAGCGAAGGCTCAGCTATAAAGAAGGATTTACAGACAACAATAAACTGCACTTACAACAATAAAACGAAGACAACGTTTAAAATACATCACTGTCCTTTATAATTTGATTGTGAAGGTCTACGTGAAGATATAAAGTGAATTTATGTTCCCCTTTACAGCTTCCAGGTTTGTTTTAAAGCCAAAGGAATCATTATGTCGTTGTTTAACAAAGATTAATGGACTGAAAAATAAGCTTTAAATACTCGAAGAAAATGGCATTTTATTTGTATAACGATTAAAAACGTAGAAAATACAAACAACCATAGACACACATAATTTATGCAAATTAAATCATTAATATAAAATAAATATTCAAAATATGAATAACCTAAATTAAAAACTAATATTTATTTTAAAATAATATAACATAATTAAAAATATATGACAAATAAATGTAAAGCTGTAAAATAATAATATTGTTGTTAGTTGACCAAGTAATAAGTACTGTAACGTTTTGGAGTAATTTCAAATAAAGCAACCTAATTAGGCAAAAGTATATGATTTAAATAACTTTCTCCGAAATCCTAGTGCGAAATTTAAAAACATAAATGTTGGATATTTTGTTTTTAAGTGGTTGGCGGCCTCTTTTAACCTTGCATTTGACCGTCCACATAGATTACAGTTCTGTGCGTGAAATGAAATGAATGAATGGTACAGTATGAAGTTTCTGTGACTGTACTGATAAAAA